CATATTTTGGGCATCTGACAAGGACTGGGCAGCCTTAAAGCTTCTTAATTTATTGCAGTGTTTTTCACTTGAGTTTTTATAAGCAAAAATATTTAAATTAAAAAAGTGCATATCAATAAAAATGATTATTGTAAATATAGTTGTGTGTAGTGTTTTAGAAATTCTATAAGGTCTTAAATCGCTACAAATGCTAGCATAAAGAACAAGGCTTTGGAGGCTGCGGGTTTATCTGGTGCCATTAAAGTGCTAGTGAAGCGTACACAGTGACATCAATGTTTTACATCCCTGCTCCCTGGCACAGCCTTGTCTTTAACTCAAACTTAAAATATCCTCACCCCATGACTTTCAGATTCTCTCACAATCTCTGAGGTGATCTACAGGCCTCACTGTACCTAATATGCTGTAGCAGTAGAAGAGACAGCACACATATAGGCATCACTTGAAGTTAAGTCTCTTTGTTTCTGTGTGATGTCTCTTTGATAGTGACAGCAGTTGGGGTAAGGTGCAGGTCTGAGGAAAACACAGCAGAATAGAGATGTGTCTGCCATAAACACCATATGCTTACAATGCAATGCAACACAGGCACCCGAACCAGCAACACAATCCACTCCAAAATCTGCATAGACTCATCATTTTGTATGAAAGCTAGTTATTAAAATAAATAAATACAGATTGCTAAATTAAACATATATATCTTCTCTGATTGTAAGGAGAGCATTTCTCCTTGAATTGAAGCCATTTGAAGCCACTTGTCAAAAACTTGATGTCAGCCTTATGTGGATCTGTTTGTGTATCGGCATATTATCTTTTGATTATTGAAATTTGTATGATGGAGATTTTTCTTTTATACCATCAATGTTATTGTCAAAGTACACCAATAAAATGAAACTTGTAAAGATACGGTATCATGTCCCTGCCTGTGTTTTTCTTCTGCGTATCAAAGTATCTACTTTTAGTGTGTGTGCCTGGAAACCGCTGCCTTTTCACAAACTTTTCTCAGTGTTGTCATGGTGCTACTTTAAATATTCAGAATAATAATGTGGTTGTACTGCATATACCAAATTATGCAAACGTGAAGACAATCATGCTTACTGTGAAGAGACATTGATGGAGCTGCCAGTGAAAGGGCTCTGCAGGGAGTATTATACTTTAGTTTCAAAGTGTTCTGCATAGCCTGTAGGAGGGTAATAACTATGTGAAATAATGTCAGGGATATTCCTTAATATGTTTCTCTTATGAGCTGTATATAAGAAGAGAATCTGTGCTCTAAAAATATATAACCGTAACAACGTTTTCTGAAACCTGAATGGCTGCATGAGCAGAGGGGCTCTACACTACGTAGGAATATAGACAGCATCATGCCCCCTCTTAAACACTTTCACACACAGGATTATTGTGTGTGGGCTCTTGTGATCCAAAGTAAAAAAATAAATCCCAAAAGGGGACCAGATTCCTCTGTTTTTTTGTACCCGTCTTTAAATAGTCTCTCTTATCCCTCTGACAGTTTGTAAGTGTGTGTGTGTGTGTGCGTGCATGTACATATCCGGAGACTGAGACAAAGATAATTCTTGTTGGGATTGTGCAGCCTGTCACCCAGAGAACAAATACAGAGTAGAATGAGACGGTTTGACGAGAGGACACTTAAGATTCATTGAATCAGAGCAGCTCCAGCCCTATGGCATTTAGCACATTAACTCTGCATCTCTGCTAGTTAACTGAAGTGACAGCTGATAATTTAATTATGCTGCCAGGAAAAGAAATGCTAAGTGGCAGCCGGGATGAGATATCTAGATGGGGTTTTAAATGTATTCCAGACAATTTGAGCACCACTTCCCACACTGGTTATCCTCAGCAAACGTAAGGGGAATTATAACTATGAGAGTGTTTTATTCAATGCACTGCTTTTCAGCGTGCAACTCCATTCATCCTCACTGAAAATGCCCCTGCTTTCTCTCCTGCTGTGTAACAGTAGTTGCAGTGTGTGTGAGAAACTTGGCAGAGACACAGAACCCGGCTGGAGTAGCCACATCTTAATGGAGCCCGGGAAACACAAGGCTTTGGTATGCTGACACCAGTGTCACTTGGCTGTCAGACACTCACAGAGGGCAGCTCTTAACATCTCAAGAGCCGTCTCTGGATGTGTACACAACACAGGCCAGCATGTACACACACACACATCGGATATTAATTCATCCACACGCAACCCCTTGAGTGTCTGTGCCACTCAAAGGCTTTGATGTCATGTGTTGCCTCTTTGCCTTTGTATGCTGGCTTGTGTGTCGATGTGTCAGTGCACTCGGAGTACAGAGCCTACAGAGTATCTCTAACTGGAATCTGCATCAGGAAATAGCCTGAATAACTAAATGTGTGGCTCTCAGTCGATCCGCTCATGTTACACTGTTCATCCACACTTCCTCTATGCTCCTTTCTTTATGTACATGTATGTGTTTTTCTCTGCCTCCTCTACACAGGCTCATCACTGGGAATCAACCAGAGAGACATGCACAATTTTCGCTTTGGTGTGTTTTCTATGTAACATACTGACACCATGCATTACATCCCATGCTTTCATATCTGGTGACATCAGATGTCTGAGTTATAGAGAAAGACTGTGTGTGGTAGTGTGTGTGTGTGTGTGTGTGTGTGGTGTGTGTGTGTGTGTGTGGGTGTGTGTGTGTGTGTGTGTGTGTGTGTGTGTGTGTGTGTGTGTGTGTGTGTGTGGTGTTGTGTGTGTGTGGGTGTGTGTGTGTGTGTGTGTGTGTTGTGTGTGTGTGTGTGTGTTTGTGTGTGTGTGTGTGTGTATGTGTGTGTGTGTGTGGGTCGGTGTGCCGTCTCATGCAATATGCAAAAAAGCAGAGTAAAACCACTAGTCCAAATGTCACATGAATCTGTAACATTGCTTGGTGTTACATAACTCTTTATCATGGTCTCAGGTTGGTAGGAGCATTACAGCGTTGCAGCAACCTGCTCCCTCGTCGTTCTCCTCCTCCTTTATTCAATTTTCTCTCACAGAGCTCCCCTCCTGTGTGTATTCTATAGGTTACCAATGGGACAGTCCTTTGTGTACTGCAGCTTCCCGAGGGACGGCCAAGCGTTCAGCTGCTGTCTAGCCCAGGGGTTTAAACTCCTCTGCTGTTGTTTGCCCTTTTGTTGCTTACCGTTTGTGTTTTAGTATGCGCCTGTGCATCAGAGCAGGCATGTTTTCCCCCCAGCTCATGTTGTGACTCCTGCCTACTTCCCTGTCAGGATACAGGCGAAGGACGAGGAGCTTGTACACACATCTGCTTCCCATTCTCACCTTCCTTATCCTCCTTGACACAGCCGTGCTCTCTGACTCACGGTCCATCCTCTGCTCTCCTGCTTGCTCTGCCCTTGTCACATCGCTGTCTATCAGCTTGCATTTTCTCCTCAGTAGAGCCAGGTTTGTCCTCTCAGCTGGCCTCTTCCCTACACTGCCATACTCACCTGCTCTCACTGTCTTTTAATACAAACTAGTCATTACAATCCATTCTCTATCCACATGCTTTTTGATCATCTCAACATCCTCCCTCAGCCAGTTCTGAGCATACTTTGCCTGTGACCTCCACCCTCTCTATTTGCTATGTATTAGCCCTCAAGCATTCTTAGTTGTATATGTAGCCTCTGGTTTTCATTATGCTATGATTGCTCCATCCTGTTCTGGTTACTAAGAGATGTTGTCTTGAAAACGATGTGCTGATGCTGTGCAGAAGACCTGCTGACGGGGCCTAGTGGTGCAAGGTCAACTCATTTGTTACAGAGCTTCATTCATTATCATTGAGTCTAACTCTAACCCCCCCGACTACACAAACACAGACATATCCTCCTCACTCTCACCTAATGACCTCACCTTATCATCTGACCGCTTCATGTGACCACAGTCTTGTGAGCTGGTGTGGATTTGCAACTCCGGTTTGATGTACCCACTCTGTTTCAATTACGTTTTTACCAATGAGCACAGAATCCATGAATGAATCCATTTGGTAAAGTCAGGGATGTTGTACAAAAATGAATCCCTCATAGAAAACTGCTTACTGTGTGGAGTCACACCTCAGATTCATCCACCCAATATGCTGCACAGCAGATATTAATAATACCATTTTTTGGTCCACATTACAAGCCGACAGCCAGTTAATCAGTGAGAGATGTTGCTGTCCTGAACTATTTGCTGAAATTCTGTGAAACCTGCCGACAGTGCAACCTGAATGCAGGCGTAGTCATAATTCAAAATCTGTTTGCTGTCATGAGTCTGATATTTAGAGGAATAAATGCACTGGAGCTTTTTTTAAACCCCTTAAGAAGTTCATTATTTCAGGTTAACACCTTTGTCTTCTCATTAGTCATTTGGGCCTCAACGTGAGGCAGGTGTAATTTTTGAACATCAATTGCTTTCTGGTTGGGTAAGGACAGAAACAGCCTGGGAAAAATGTTTGTTTGAAACAGTTATTTTTGTAAATCAAGTTGATATGTATCTGCCTCTAGAAAAATAAATGATACGAATGTTAGTCAGGTTTTTTTACCTTATTAGGAATTTCAGCTCGCTATGGCAGATGTTTTTATGATACTTAGTCACAGGCTTTATTTTAATAGCTGTTATCAAATATGGCGCCTACACAGTACTAGGTCACAAATGCAGGTATTGACAGTGATGTTAAGGTTTGCAGTGTAATATACTGCAGAATAAATCCAAAAACTCGTAAAATCCTAATTGTGTGACAGAATCTGGTCACACATATTGTTTTGTTTTTTCTATTTTCTCATATTTGTCAGTTGATTATTTATAAATGGGTTGATATTATAGAGATAATATCGACCATTCATACAAAAATATATTTGGAAAAATTCACAAATAAAATTCATTATAATTGTAACAATTCTTCTTACTGAGATAAAGTTGTCTTTTTATTTAAGTATAATTGGCAACACAATTTACAAAAAATCCCACTTTGCCTCACTGTGCTTACAAAACACCTACCACCAAGAGTGTTTTAAATTTGTATTTATTGTAATCTTTACCATGCCATGTAATGTGTTGTCACTGTCCCCTAAAGGTGAGTTTTGGAATTTCCATGCAACTTGAAGCACTGCGGCATATACAAACACAACTGTCAAAGCAGAAATGCATATCATTTTAAAATGTGTAACAGGGAAGTTTACAAAACGTAAATAGCACCAAATGGACATACAGTATGAAACAAAAAGACCAAAACAAGTGTCCGCACAGGGGGTCAAGTGGGCTTGTCAGTAGAAACCCGTAGCAGCGTATTAGTCCATTTCATCCACTTTGTTTGACCATTTCTCTAATACAAACAGTTTGACATTAGAACAATGCAGTCACTTTATATAAGTTAAAAAAGATAGAATGTAAAACAAAACAATCATGATTAGAGAAAAACAATCAAATGCCCTATAGAATAAAATCTCAAGGGAACATATTGCCCAACAGCTATACAACCATAAGTGTGTCTTTGTATTGTGTGACTTCCTCTCCTCACTTCGTTAAACTAAACACCCAGAACCTCGGGAGGGGGTGGGGGGGAAACTTTTGGGAAAGGATTTTTCCCCGGTTCAGTTCATTTGCGATCTGTGCAGATGGGATTTAAAAGAACGAGGAGAGGAAACAGAGGAAGTCACTCGATCGCACACAAGTCTCTTTTTGAAAATATTCTGTAGCTCAGATTGCTACTGGTCTCCTTTTTGGTTGGGCTGTCTACTTTTGGCAGTCTTTGACCTCCCCTTTCAATTCAGCTAGCTGTTCTGAATGGGCGGGCCAGGGTGCCATTCACCTCGGACAGATAGGAGTCTGAGTGTCTCTCGAGCTCTGCCCTGATCCTACTCCAGGTGCTCTGCCAGCTCACTCAGGCTGCTGCACTGCCCCTCCACCTGGCTCACCCCTGCTGTCAACGTCCTTCACCTCCTTCTGCACTTCTATGGCTGTGCTCCGGCAGCCCTGCAGCTCCCCAGACAGCCGTCTCTTTAGGGAAACCAACTCTTCCTTCAGCTGGGCCAACCTCCTCTCTCCGGACCCCAGGAGTGAGGCTTGGTGGCCCACCAGTCTGGTGATTCCTTGCACCTGATTGACTATCTGGTGCTCTCTCTGCTCCCAGGAGGCGTTCGCGCTGCCCACTTCACTTGCAATGAATCTGATAGAGTCCTTCAGGCCCTTCAGAGTGCGGTTCACAGAGTTGATGTTGACCTTCAGCAGGGTGATCTCTCCATGGACGTTGCCCTCTGATTCCGCCTGTGCGATGTGGAAGAGCATGTTCTGCAGGGTTCTGTTAAGGCGGTCTAGCTGGTTGGAATGGTATCAAGGCGGTCAGTCATCTTCTTCTCCATCCCTTCACACACGCCTCCTCTACTTCAGTGACACTGACACCCCCTGCTGGCTGGTTGGAGGGCGCACAAGAGGAGGTGCAGAGAAGTTCCAGATCTATTAATTGTTTCTGAATGCCATCCAGGTCTCCCTCCACTCTCCTCCTCACAGACTCGATCTCCGTCTCCAGTGCTGGGACCACGTGACCCTCCAGGAGGGCCGGAGCAGTGGCATTACTCAGCTCCTCCACGGCTACAAACACTCTCTCCTCCAGGGTCTTCAGCTTGTCCTCCAATATGCTCTTGAAGCCGTCCAGACCACCGGGCAGCCCACCATCAAATCCACCCTCTGTAGAATTAAGGCGTACCTCTATGTCCAGCAGACGGGTCTCGATCAGTGTCTCCACATGAATGCTCTGGTCAGTGAGAGCAGTCTGGAGCTGTCTCTGAGATTCTGTCAACCTTTCACAGACTCCTCCAGCAGCCAGCACACCGCTGGGGACAAACTGTTTACCTGCAAAAACAATCATTTATTAGTTCATTAGCAATCCAATACAATTTAAATTAGACCTGTTAACAGATAAAATATCACTTCTCTGTAGAGACGATTGAGAAATGGTAAGAAATCAATCAAGCATTCTGGCCAAAAATTGTATCTAAACTAAAAAACTAACAAGTATATTTATTTATGGACTATTTACTTGACGGATTGGTGATCACATTCAATGCCATACCTGTCCACAGCAGCTCTCAGTGAGAGTGAGGCCCTGGATCTGAGCCTGCAAAGTTCCCAACTCCTCCTGATCCCGGTCTCTCGTCCATCTAGAGACTGCTGCATCTGCTCCTGGCCGTCCATGTGCTCCCTATGGCACTGGTTCTTCACCGCCCCAATCCTCTCGTCACAGTGGTCTCCAGGCTGGTCAGACGGCGCTCAAATCCATCAAGGATCTCAGCTCGTACGCCAGCCAGCTTGGCGTCCAGGATCTGTTCCACATTAAAAGAGGAGCCAGAGATAGTGCCCTGCCTCCAACTCCGCCTAACAGCCTCTTCAGCTGGCCATCATGACCGAGGACCATCCCCTAAGGAGAAACAGGTGAGAAGGGAAGGAAAAGTTTGGATTTAATAAGGAGGGTGAAGGTGAACTGAGACCTAAACCATCTGTAGAGATCTGTTTCCATCATCTTTGGACATACAAAATAGTACCAGTACCTGAATCTCCTCTAAAATGTGAGTTTTGGGCTCGCAGCTCATCCTTCACTTCCGTCACCCTCCCTGCCAAGTCTCCAAATCCATTGAAGCTTTCTTCTTCAAGTCCATCAGGAGTCCCATCTGGGATCACCCCAAATCCCACTGTAGAGTCAGGCAGCCGGGGAGTGTTTGGTAGCAGGGACAGCAACACTTTGTTTGTATCTTCCCGAAGAGATGTGCGCAGGCGCTCCTCAAGGCCGACCACCACCCCGTTGAGAGTGTCCAGACCCTGTGTGAGGCGCCGCAGATCCTGCTCCATGCGGTCCAAACGTTCACCAGTCACTCCTGAAATCCCAAATCTGTTTCCTGTATTTCCAGGGATAAAACAGAAAGGACAATGGAGGATTTTCTTTTTAAATAAAGAAAAAAACGATGTGCCCCAGGCTTTACAATACATTGTTTTATGTTCTCACCATAGTTTGGTCTTCCATTACCAGTAGGAAGGTGTCCTGAGGGTATTGGTCTGAGGTCAGGCACAACGGGGAAGGGTCTACCAGGCTCCAGCTGGCCTCCTCCAGGCCTGTGGTCCACAGGGGGTCTAGGGCCGTGGGGGAAGCCTTTCGTTCCCTGGCCGGTGGGGCAAACCCCCACCCTTAAAAGGTGGCATCATGACGTCAGGCAACGACGTGGGTCCATCATAGCAGTTTCTCCTGAGTAGCCGGGACAACATCTCCACTCCAGCTCACTCACTGTTTTATAACCCACCTTGTACGTTGGCTTGTAGAATGTCCTGTACCTGAAGGGGACAGAACAAAAACATGTGAACAATGAGGAATGATACCAGAAGTGAAGCATTTGTTTTTCCTAATTAGGATCACAGAGCCAGGTCAGAGGGTGTGAGGTGCAGATCAGAGATAAAGGGATGAAGGTTGTTCTTTATGGGATCAAATACAGATTAGAGGGAGATTAGGAGATTACGACAAAATCATTTAAATGATGCGGCATCAGAGGATTGAACCAACTTTTCTCTCTCTCACACACACACACACACCAACATCCACACTTTTTTGAAAGGGAAAAGCCCCCCTTTAATTTCCTGTGTATTGGATATTTGAAGTCACATCTAGAAGCTTAATGAGTCTACATGGACCCACACACATGCAGAAACACACTCGTAAATCTGCAGTAGATAAAGTTAAAGTCTAGTTAAAGTATTATTCCAGACCTCATTTTGTAGGACCGTACATACATTTTACTATTATATAAGTATTTAGCCCCTATTGGCATGATAAAATAACATTTTAATAACACAGATGTTCAAGCAGCTGAAGATCTGCACTCATACTGACATCACATGATATGAACACTAGAGGGCAGCATTGATTATATTCACAAATGAGTCCACATGCTGCAGTTTCTCTTGAAGTGATTACAGCACATGTTTTACTTCACAACAAAGCTCCTTAGGATTTAAGCTTAAATTATATTATATAAGGCTAATGTTATCGGGTATAACATTAGCCGTTTCCTGTATTGCATTTTGTGATACATATTTTTGGAAAACCTACATGACAACAGAACACTTCTGACCCCAGATGCACTTGGTGGTGTACTCGGCCTTCACGTAGGTGGACACTCCATCCTGCATGATGCATGTGATGTTCTTCTGGACCACGAAGGCACAGTGGTTTCTGTGGACACAGTAGAGGGACATCATAATTAGTTTCAGCACTGACATAATCAACTGGCAATACCCCTCTCTCTCATATAAAAGATGAAAAAGGACTTTTTCGGCTCCATACCTGTCAAATGATGTGTATTAATTATGCTAGCCTTTGCCGAAAAAGTTAGAGACTGTTTTATTGCTTATCATTTACACTTTTGACATAAGAATGTAATTTCTTCTTTCAAAAATGTCTCACTTTAAGAAAACTAGTATTTGTTTAAATAACTTTGTCCTATTTAGTAATATGTCCCTACAAAGCACTGCTGCTACTCCCCCTCCAGCTGGGTAATGAGATTATTCCTTACTGACAAATACGTCATTCAGATATGAAGCCTCCCTTTTCATCACCACCCTAGTGTTTCATAAACACAACTTGTCTATCTTATGTAAAATTTTAATAATATCAATTTCAAAAATATAACCAGAACCTATAAGCTATGGAGTAGTTTTCAAAGAAGAGCTTCATAAATGTAAGTGATCTTCCACTGTTTTATTTAAAAAGTCTCATATTTATGGATCCCTGCTGTGGCATTAATCAGCATGATGAAAGAAGATTTCTGCTGAGCTTTGCCTGAATGGTTCTTATGTTTCCTTTTAGTTAAAAATGGTGATTTAGCAATTCAAAACACATTTATTATTGACATATTTAGCTATTTGAGCCAACATCATTTTTGAAGACACGGAATATCAGCCAGACTGTTTTCATCCCCAGGAGTTCTCAGAGATATTATCCAACACATAATAACTTCACAATAACTGAGTAGTTATTGCATCATGCTGGAGCTGGACCTTCTCTCTTCTTCTCCTTCTTCATTGCCAGTGCAGCTATAGCAACTGCTAAATGTTCCCCTGGCCGCTGCGCAACACAGGAAACGATGATCTGCACTCTTTAGACTCACATGTGAAGCATTTCTTACATTCAGAGGGGAACGTTTAGCAACACATGCAGTACTTTACGTTTGCTCCACAGCTGTTTCGGGACAAATAGAGGTTTTTGGAGGAGCAGGGAGGGGGACGGGGGCTGAGTAGCTTCTGCATGCCAAGTTAACAGGTTCAGAGGGCTTCCAGGCGGCCAGTCAGAAACTGTGAGAAACCGCGGCACTGCTGCTGCTTTATACAAATCATTGACTGTGTTGACAGCATTTTTGTGTGTCTGTGTGTGTGTCACACTCTCTGCGTGTTGACATATGTTAATAGTGGTGGAAGGAAAAGGGCAGGAGTCAAAATGACAGAGCTCCTTTCATACCAGCCTGACAACCTGCTGCCAGGTCATGGGTTGTTAAGGAAGTGGCAGTTATGACCTGAACTGATGTGGTATGACGGGAGCTCTTAAACAACTTTAAACCCACACAGGCAATTTACTGGCTGCTGCAGTTTAGCTAAAGACACAAGGTTAGAACGTTCTTTTATGTATCAGGTGGTGCTTAGGTAAATTAAATGAAGACCGTAAACCCAACACTGCATCATCATTGCTGGCACAATTTCCCTCTCACTAAAACTCATAACAAACTCACGTGGTATTTCCCCGCCCAGTCGTGTATTGCCGCTGTTACAATGCTGCAAACAATTTGCTTTCATTCTTTTATGTTGCACAACCCCAACTGCAGGCTCTTTTCTTTACGACCCCTGGCGGTGGGTCAACACTGATCACTCCCTCTGCTCATTTGCTGCTACACAGAGTCTTTGTGCCAAAATAAATGTCATAAATTCATTTCTAACATGAAAAATACATATGTAGACAATCATATTTATAGGTGGTGACAGTAAAAGGGATTTTTATATAAAAGAGTTTTATATTGTAAAATCGTAATATTAGCCTATCTAAAATAAATGGCTTCCTCCTCATAAATGACAGATTTATTGAATGCAACACGAATCTTTATGACTTTGTTTTTGTGAATGTGAGAATTAGAAAAACTTTTACAAGCATACAAGGACTTATGACCATTGATGGAGAGCAGTGCACAAATATGTCTGTGTATTCAATACAGTAAGTACGGGACCCCTTCTCCGTTATAGGCCGAGCAAATCAGTGGAGTGAAAAATGATCACCATATTTGGTTGTCAGGTGCACATCAGGGTGGGGGGGTGGACAATGGCTTTCAAACTACTTACAGTGCCCGAATAGTTCAGAAATCCAGATGTACATGGGTTGAAAAAAGACTTTCTCCTAGTGTCTGTTTCTGCCTTTCTCTCCCCAGTCTGCTCTTTGCCTGTTGTAACAGATCTGTCAATGTCATTTAGGTTCAAGAGTGATATTTTATCCTCAGTGTCTTGCAGACAGAGGGGTTCTGGCATTTGTGAGAATCAAAGTCAAGCGCTGAGGTAAGTCCTGTCCCTCTGCACCGCAGTGTCGACCAGTGCAACTGCAGGTCACTTATTTTGCTGTGTAAAAACTAATCTTTATTGGATGAAAGTTGAGGTTCCAATTCAGAGATCGTGATAGTGTATGTCAGCTGCACTGACACTGATATCCTCTAACACATGTGCACATATAATACACACCGCATGGCCCTTTTATCTCATATCCACAGGGAACACACAGCTTTTCAGGATAAGGATTACATGAGCTTTATCGAGAGAAATACGAACCATAATGAGCAAGTGGTCATATGTGAGAAGAAACAGGCCGTCTGAAATGTTGCCAGGTAGGTGAGACATTTGTTTTGTCTGCTAATGCATGTCTGGATGATCTCCAGTCTGCAGATGACCGCACTAATCGGAACACTTTGAGGATAAAGGGATGAGAAGTTCTCATCTATTATGATCCGAGGATTATGGAAAGGAACGAGAAAAAGGAGCCTCCTCTGGTCTATTTTCACACCTCATCTCTCAGCCAGTGGCAGAGAGATACTGGTTCAAAGTGTATAAATACTTTCCAATGTTTAGCACTCAATAGTGACAGATGGGAGCGGTTGACCACACAAGATAACCCAGTAAGTGCTAGACCGTAAAAGCTGCGTAGTTTGAAACAACATTATTTACGACTCAAATAACTAAAATAACATTGGGCAACATACCATACCCATGCAAAAGATAATTAGCATCAACAGTTTTAATAAAAACACAACATACATGATTTGAAACATGAAACATGAACATGTTTCAAACATGCATGTTTTACATTTTTTAAGGCATCATGGTTAGAGCTCAATCTGATTTATGGGTCAGGGACAAATTAGTGTTCAAACATGATTTAAAGATGTCAACTGAGGGCAGGTGAACTTTTCCTTGGCTTTAGGGCAGAAACAGCTAAGGCAGTGGTTCCCAAACGTTTTCTGTCAGGCCCCCCCTTTGGAGAAAAAAGTAAGTCGGGCCCCCCCAACACAAATAGTCAGGCTCAGTGGCGGCGCCAGAGATTTATTTTGGGGGTGCTGTGGGGTAGCTTGACGTTTCATAGAGGGTGCTCAAACATTTAGGGTTTCCCATTAATGTACCGGGCTACAGTGGAATTTTCTACTGCAACACTCCCCACGCAAATACACAACGTACCCGCAACTATTACAATGAAGGCTCGATAATCAGCTCACGACATATAGGTGTAAGCAGGGGTAAAGTGCTATTTTTATAGGTGGTGTGTGGACCTCACATAGGGGGGTCCGGGGGCAAGCTCCCCCGGGAAGATTTATTTTTAAATATTGAAGTTAAAAGCATCAATCTGGTGCACTTTGAGAGCAAAATGAAGAGATCTATGGATACCTCTCTATGAAACAGAACTGTAAACAGATTTACTTTTTCTTTATGGATATTTGACTAATCACCCTTTTAAACTTTATTCTTTTTTTACTGTCATATAGTATTTCATACTTGTTTTTCATTTATTCTCTTATTTTTTTATAACTATAATGATCATATAAACGTGTGCCTCGGAAATAATTGTTTACATTAATGGTGACCAAAACGTTTGAGACCCACTGAGATAACTTAGACTAAAGTTAACTATCTAAACACTGAGCGTGTCCTTTAGCTCACTGAGTCTCTCAGTCTGACAGGAGAGGACTCTCCTCCACTTTTTTGTTGAAAAAACTCCTTATATCCGTTAGCGTAGCTCGCTAGCACCAGAAGCTAACAACAACGATCTCCGGTACCGGTGCGTTCTCTCTCGCTCGCGCACGCACACAAAATGGCTCGTTCCACACACACACAGAGCCGAGCTTGAATGAAACACAGAGACCCAGACGTAATAGTACTGTATCATATTATTTTCGAATCAATAATTTTTCAAATTATGATTTTTTTTTTTCTTTCTCTTTTTCTGTTATAACCATTTTTCCTCCTGGTCTCTCGCGCCCCCCCTGTCATGCCTCGGCGCCCCCCACTTTGAGAACCACTGAGCTAAGGCATGATGAGCCTTAAAATGTAAAGTTGCCCCAAGGACAGACAAAAGCATCTGGACGGAGGACCAGAGCTAGACAAATAATAGTGTAAAGTGAGAGGTAAAGAAATACGCCAACATATGTTTGTAAATCCTTACAGTTTATACAATGCCAGATTCCACAGTGATGCTTTGAGCTAAATGCTAATGCCAGCATGCTAAAATGCTCAAAATGACATTGTTAAAATGCTGATGGTATAATGTCATGTTTTACATGTTCACCGTCTCAGTGTGTAAGCAGGCTAACAAATGGCGCTTAACACCGGCTAACAGTTTGTAGTAGCAGTTGATTAGAATGCTTATCTTGACTGAACTTACCAACCTCATGTAATGCATCTAATGTGATTATATTCCACTCATCTGATATGCAGTTTAAGACTGAATTATGCCTTGAAGAATGTTGAGCCAGGTCTGAGTCAAGCGTTACTTATTGCCTATTTGACTAGTTCACTGTACATATTCAAAACATGCTCATTGGTTTCTTTTGTATGATCTAAAACTGCAGTAAATGGTATTTGAGAGATTTCTAATAATATGAACATATTTCTAACCATTTTTTCTTATAAATAATAAATAATTTCTTGTATGTG